AGTCTCAGTAACAACAACTTCTACAAAAACAAAAGAAATAAGAAAAAAAATTCACAAGCAAAAGGAATTCAGCACAGTAGAGTAAGAGGAACAAAGAAAATGTCAGCACCACAAAAAAACACTACAAAATGACAGCAATAAACTCACACCTATCAACAATTACACTGAATGTAAATGGCCTAAATGCACCCATAAAGAGACAGAGAGTGACAGACTGTATTAAAAAAAAAAAAACAGGAACCATCAATATGCTGTCTACAAGAGACACATCTTAGAAAGAAAGACATAAATTTATTAAAAATCAAAGGAGGGAAAAAATATATCAAGCAAACAGCTACAAAAAAGAGCAGGAGTGGCAATACTAATCGCAGATAAAATAGATTTTAAAACAAAATCCACCATAAAAGACAAAGAAGGACACTATATAGTGATTAAAGTGATGATCTATCATGAAGACATAACCATAATAAACATCTATGCACCCAATGACAGGGCTCCAAAATACATAAAACAAACTCTAACAGCACTGAAAAGAGAAATTGACAGTTCTGCAATAATAGTAGGAGACTTCAAAACACCACTTTCAGTAAAAGCCAGAACATCTATCAAGAAACTCAGCAAAGATTCAGAAGACCTAAAGGACACAATCAGCCAACTTGACCTCATAGACATACATAGGACACTACACCTAATAGCTGCAAAGTATACATTCTTTTCCAATGCACATGGAATGTACTCCAGAATAGACCACATCTTAGGCCGGAAAGCAACCCTCAACAAAATCCAAAACACTGAGATAGTAGAAAGTATCTTCTTTGACCACAATGCCATCAAGGTAGAAATTAACACTAGAAAGAGCAAGGAAAGAAAATCAATTACATGGAAACTGAATAACACCCTGCTTACAAACCACTGGGTAATAGAAGAAATCAGAGATGGTATCAAAAAATTCCTAGAATCAAACGAGAATGAAAACACATCACACCAAAATCTTTGGGATACAGCAAAGGCAGTCCTCAGAGGACAATTTATAGCAATAGATGCACACATCAAAAAAGAAGAAAGTGAAAAAATCAAAACATTAGCTACACAACTCGAACAAACAGAAAGAGAAGAGCAAAAGAAAAAAAAAGCCCACAGCCACTAGAAGAAAGGAAATAATAAAGATCAGAGCAGAAATAAAAGAAATAGAGAATAGAAAAACAATAGAAAGAATCAACAAAACCAAAAGTTGGTTCTTTGAAAGGATCAACAAATCGACAAACCACTGACCAAACTGACAAAATAAAAACAGTAGAGGATGCAAATAACCCAAATAAGAAATGAAATGGGGGTGATTACTACAGACTCAACTGAAATAAAAAGGATCATAACAGAGCGTAATGAAAAACTATACTCCAACAAATTTGAAAACCTAGAGGAAATGGATAAATTTCTAGAAACATACTACCTACCCAAAGTAACACAAAGTGATGCTGAAAATCTGTACAGACCCATAACAAGAGAAGAGATTGAAAAGGTAAGAAAAAACTCCCAACAAAAAAAGCCCTGGCCCAGATGGCTTCACTGGAGAATTCTACCAAACATTCAGAGAAGAGCTTATACCAGTACTACTCAAACTATTTCAGAACATAGAAAAGGAAGGGATACTTCTGAATTCGTTCTATGAAGCCAGCATAAGCCTGATACAAAAACCAGGCAAACACACAACAAAAAAAGAAAATTACAGACCAATATCTCTCATGAATATAGATACAAAAATTCTCAACAAAATTCTAGCCAGAGAATTCAGCAACATATCAAAAAAATAACACATCACAACCAAGTAGGATTCATACCAGGCATGCAAGGATGGTTCAACATTACAAAATCAATCAACATAATCCACCACATAAATAAAAGAAAAGAATCACATGATCATCTCAATTGACACAGAAAAGTCCAACACCCATTCCTGATAAAAAAT